ATCTCTTTTATTTTTTTATTCATTATTTCATTCTTATATTATCTTTATTTGTCTTCATTTATTTGTTTATTCTTTTAACTTAATTCATCGTCATCTATTCATTTTTCTTCCTTATAATTTGGTTTATCAAATAATATTCTTCTAACTATGTTTTTTTGACACTTTGATAACTCTGACAAGTTTATTAAAATATTGTATTATCATAACAATGTTGTTTATTTAACAATTTAAATATTGAACAACTAAACCAATGTTGTTTATGTTTGACCCTAATTAAAATTGTTTTAATTGAAATAGAGCAACCATGAATATACTATGATAATAAGAAATGTTTTTGACAACAGTTGTATTTTATCTTACTATCTCTGATTTAGAATATCAAATACTTATTGGTCATTAACACATTGTTTATGTGTGTCATTAGAGATATTTCTTATTCTTATTAAGAAATTAATTTGACTTGATGAAGAGTATGTTTAAATAACAAGAGTTATTGTATTGTGGTATATTTCTGTTGATACTTCACCAACTAAAAATGAGTGTTTTGTGACACCATTCTAATCATTCAAAGAATTCTTCAATAAACTTATAACATTAATCACATTTAAATGAATGTTCTATCATTATGATATTTAGAAGTAATTTCACTTGATACACTTTCTATTAACATATTCTCTGTATAACGTAGACTTTATAATGAAAAAAGATTCAAAAAGATAACAATCAATTAAAATACTTTTATCTAATGATCTTATGGTTAAATCAAAATATCAACAAATTAAGTACGAATTATAATTTTAATTTATCAAGCAATTAATGTTGTTTCTAATTATTTATTGATAAAAAAACTCCATTTTTAAAAATTAATCAAACAAGTTAGAAAGTGTTATACGTAATTCTTTGATGTTGTTTTAAATATTTTTTTAATTTAAATTATTTCATCATTTTAGTAGATTTCATTATATAATAATGTACTAGTATAAACTTAGTAATGGTTATTATTGTTGTTTAATAAACTTTATTTTTATCTAAAAGGATTCCCTGTGTTTGTTATGACTTATTTTTCATGCGTTGAGTAACTTTTAAAATTAACATAAAAAGATCTGGTGTATAAAACAATAATATAGTTGAAGAAAAGAATGAATAAAGATACAGTAGAACTAATACTTTGTTAGACTCTCTATTTATTTTATCTTATTAACTTTATTCATTATGTCTTTTTATTCTTGTTATTGAATTGTTTATTCACTGTGCTATAATTCATAGAACCTTTGTTATTCTTTTTATGTTCTTCATTTTTATGATATTATTACAAATGCTATTCAACATACTTCGTTTTAATTCTTAGAAGAATAAATCATCAAAATTACTTAATATCTCATTTTGTTTTGAAAATGGTTGTATTATTTAAATAAGTTAAAGAAGAAAAACAAATAACTTAATGAAAGACAATTAAACACCTAAATTAATATTAAAATGAAAGAACTTAAAATAATATCATTGAATAAACACAAATGAAGCCAAATAAACAAAAATAATAAATTTTATCTAAAACAGAACCAAACAAATAATAATATATACGAAGTATTTAATTATATAATTAATGAAATATAAATTAAAATGAATCATTTTTATTTAAACAATAAATATTAATAAAATGAAATGATTCACATATTATTTAATATCAAATTATTATAAATAATTATTAACATTAATATTAAATTATAATATAATGACATTAAAATTAATTTACTATAACTCATCATTATTAAACATATTTAACATTAGCCATATCTAAACACACGAGAAGAAACAATAAATAATGTTAATTATTTAGAAAATAATATACCATCTTAAAATTATAACATAGAATAAATTAAGACTGTAATCATTGTATCTGTAGCATTTAATTAATAAATGTTTTACAAATATTATTATGTGTTATGTCATACGTTATTATCACTTTTTATTTTTGTTACTTATGGACACTGTTGTTGAATATTTTTTGTTGGATAGTATACAAACACTTTCTTTTTGGTAAGGATTATTCAGTGCTTATTATTTTATGATTATATAGTTAATTTAGTTATCAATTTCATTAATTTAATACACATCATGATATCTATTATTCTCTTTTATTTTTGTGTATCTTATATTTTATTACATCTTTCTTTTGTTTGTTTTTTATTAGACACTAAGATTACATTCTCATTTCATATCTTTATTTTTATTTTAACTTATTGTTCTACTGCTATCTAAATCTTTTAAATTAGAACTATACTTATTATAGTGATATTCCATAACTAATCAGTCATTTCTTTATCATATTTCAATTAAAAATAGCTTCTTTTCAAGAGCTTAGAAAGTATTAAATTAAAAAAATGTTTTATTTCTATGGAGAAATTAAAGTTAGTGAACCGGTATAATCATTTAAAGAAAGGCCTTGATCACTAAAAGTCAGTTCTTTCTCCTCTCCAAAATGTGGGACAGAAAACACTTTTCCTGATAAATGAGTGAAGCTTTTTTTTCTAATTTCTTCTTGGGAGAGTTTATAAATGAGATTAAGTCCATCATACGACCAAGAAGGTAATGGCTCTACTTCTAATACAACATCAAAAAAGGAGAAATGAAATATTTTTTGACATCCAGGTTTAATAATAATTTTAACATGAATTATTTTTAAGGCTGACATTTTCACAAAAAATTCTTTTGTAGTTCCATGGTAATACTCCTTTAAAGAGACCTTGATAGGTATTTTTATTCTTTCCCTGAAAGAATCGTTGTCTTTGAATTGTTTGTTAAAGTCAATCAGAAAATAGAATTCATTTTTCTGTTCTGGGTTAAGCTTTTTGTAATTGTCTATAAAATTCTTTTTAATATTATAACTTATTGTTTCATTAACATTTTTATTCCATTTTTCATTAAAACCTTTAATACTTTCATTTAGATTTATAATAACTTCTTCGGGACTCTTAATAAAGTTGGTCTCAAAATCTTTCTCATCAACTGAAAGTAAATTAAAATAATATAAAGATTTATCATAGTTATCTGACTTTTTATCCATTAAAGACTAATGTATATATTTTTTTTTTAGTTCTAATAATCCTTTTTACAGTTATTAAATGATGTTTGTCTTATTTGTTCTAAATCTTTTTCATTTGAAAACATTATTTTAATATTCATAAAACAGAAAATTTTAATCAAATAACTTTTTAGATAAATAAACTAAAAAATTAGAAAATTAAAATAATTAGAATAAAACTAAAAAGAAAAACTTGAAAATAAGATATTTATTTAAATGAAAGATCCTAATTTTTTATTTATTTAAAAAAAGGAATATTGTTTGTTAAATAAAACAATAGAATAAATGAATTAGTATTTTCTGTGATTATGAAATGATACTTCAGTAAGGATCCTCTTGGATAGTAGCAGATTTTCTTCTTCTTAATTTACTAAAGAAGCCATCTGAAGTAAAGGAAATAAGTGTAGGTTCTGATTCTTTATCAATAGAGTCTGGTCTTTTCTTATCTTTCTTTTGAGTTTTTTCTTCTGTTAATTTAGGAGAAGATAAGAGCAAAGGAACTTGTTCACTCTCAACATGTCCAGTAGTGTATGTTCTAAAAACTTCTTTTGGTTGTTCTCCATTTAAGAGAGCTTGAAGTAATGTTACTTTTTCAGTTAATTCGACATATAGCCTATCTAATTGACTAACTTGTTGTTCTTCAGAAGAAATTAAATGTTTATGATTAGAAATGAGTGTTTTGAATTGAATTTTAAGTTCATTTGCATGTTTAAGTAATACCTCAGCTGATTGTCGATGAACATTTTCCTTTAAGTTGACCATAGCATCATCAATCATTAATATACATTCTGATACTTTTTCAACATAATTCTCTAAAATATTTCCATCTTTATGGACATATTCTAAATCTGTAAGTTCAGGTAAGTGGAAATGCACTCCTATTTTTTTGTATTTCATATACATTTCTGTATACACCTTAAATTCTTGTGGGAAGAGAATACCCCAAGACTGAACAATTCTCATGGCTTTATCAGTAACGATTTTGACTTGTTTTTTCTTCTTACAACGCTATAATTAAATAAATATCTTCTAGGAATTGATAAGATGAAATTAAAGAGATTGAATCTTAAAAATTAAAATGAGTCTTCAAAAATAGAAAAATTCTATTTTCACCTATTTTGAACCAAAATAGAGCAAAAACAGTGACCTCATCATTACGTTGAAGTGAAAGGGCATTGTAAAAATATTTGAGAATAATATAAAAATAAAACAAACATCAAATTCAGCGATACATTCAAACCATTGGACTAACTCAATATGAACCATTTGTTTTCTGAAATTAGAATTTCGTTTAACCGCATAGTCCATGAAACACAAACAATAATACATTTCTAAGCTTGGAAGAAATTTATTGTGGTATGCTTTCATTTTGTTAATGATTTGTATTCTTAAAGGAATACATGCCTGTGGGACATTAGTCATAATTCTAACAATAGTTTCATATCCTTTAATACAAGGAGAGGCATGTAGTTCATTGACTGCATGATCAAAAACTTGACTAAGTGGCACCGTTTGCTTTGACATTTAAAAATAAAATTTGAAGTTCTCTTAGATAATCTTTTTTGAAGATTATTTCTTTGAGAAGAATAATATTTACAAAAAAATAGATACTAAGAAATATAGGAGAAATTAAGACAAAACAGAGAAATAACTCATCTAATATCAACAATTAACGGACTAACACATAAAGACTCAATAAAAAGACTACATGTATTAAAATTACAAATAAAATTCAACCAATCCATTACATATAATTCATAAAAAAGTGAACATCTAACGTTCTACACAGGAAACTCTGATGATGTATTAAAAAAGAAACCTTCTAATGCCAGTCTTTAAAAGAAATTCTATGGCAGAGATAGAAGGCATTAAAAAACTTGAAAAATTATTTTTTAATAAACATAAAAACCAAGTGAGGGATATCTAATAATTCCCTTTTTTGAGAAGAGATGTCGGTTGTTGAGGTGTAGTTTCATCTTAAACAAAAGCACAAAGTTAGTAAAAAAGAAAAAACTTAACCAAGGCTATGACATAATATAAGAAATAAGCACTGTTAAGATGAATATACAGTCTTATACTTATATCACATAAAAGAGTATTTCTAGAATAAGACATCGTGTAAAAGAAAGAGTAGTGAAATATACACAAGTTAATAAAGAAAGAGTAAAAATGATTAAACAATGAAAAAAGGAAATAAGAAAAAAAAATAATAATAAAAAAGAAAAATAATATAGGGTTAGGGTGGAACTAAGAAGGAACTTAATTGTGATTCTGAAGAATGTCTGAGGTTGTTGCCAAGAAAAGAACCTTCAAGAAGTTTGAATTCCAAGGAAAATCACTCGAAGAAATCACTACAATGCCAGAACCAGAATTTGTTAAAATGTTAGATGCTAGAATGAGAAGATCATACAATAGAGCACCAAAATTAAAACACGAAAGACTTGTCAAAAAACTTCTCAAAATAAAGAAAGCTACTAAAGAAGGTGAAAAACCAAAACTTGTTAAAACTCATTGTAGAGATAAAATTATTCTTCCAAATATGATCGGTTCAGTAATTGGTGTTTACAATGGAAAATCTTTCACTACTGTTGAAATTAAACCAGAAATGATTGGACATTATCTTGGAGAATTTTCAATTACTTACAAACCAGTTACCCATGGAAGACCAGGTGTAGGAGCTACTCATTCTTCTAAATTCGTCCCATTGAAATAAGTAAAAGATGTTTCGTGTCTAATTTTTATATTTTTTTTTGACAATTTTAATTTTTGTGATATGAATTTTTGTTATAGTAAATTATTTAAAAAATATAATAAATTACTATACATTATAATAAAATAAGGGTTCCTATAAAAACTCAAAAATATTAATCTTAGTTGGCATTTGTTACTTCTGTAGATCACTGACTCATAGAATGTCTTTGATTTATAAGGACTTAAATAATAAATGACTATTTTATTGTTAAATTGTTCACTGTTTTGTAAAAACGACTTCATTGCCGTTTGCTGTTAAAGTTTAACAGCCAGTGACTTTTCGTTGTGATTAAAAAATCACTCGTCCAAAAGGGCACAGCACTGAAGTTACTCAAAAAGAAGTATTTTTTTGTTGGTGTTATTTCATCAACTTTTTTTCTCTAAAAACCATTAAATAATAAACAAAAATAAAACAAAACGATTCATGACAAAACCCTGAAATAGAGGGTTATTCCAAAAATAGGTGAGAACTGAGAAATAAAAAACTAATAGGTAAAGAAAAGGAGGATGGAGAGGATGCCACTAAAAGAAATAATAAAACCGAGATTTCGGTATACCACAGAAGATGTTGAAAATGATGTCAATCAAATATTTTCTGCATTTGGACTAACTCCTCATGAACATCAAATGGAATGCCTAAAAAAATTGCTTGAAGACGTTCAAAATAAACAGTCATCAAATAATTATTTGATGCAACACTCTACTGGGTCTGGAAAGTCTTTGACTATTGCATCCTTAGCCCATTTTTTATATAATTTATATACAGAAACAGGACCAAAATATGATAAAATTATTGTACTGAATGATAGAGTTCATTTAGATACACAATTGTATTGTACTGTTAAAGCTGTTTTAGGGGTAATTGATAAAATAGAAGTAAAAAGAGTTAAGAACTCAGTTAAACTTCAAGAAGACCTTGAAGATATAAAGTGTAGAATATTTTGTACAACACTACAAAAGTTTAGTTTTGTAGAGACACAATTACCAAGTGATTTAAATATTGCTATTATCTCTGATGAAGCACATCGTTCACATGGGGCTGTTGCTACAAGAAAATTACATACAATGTTATCTGGAGAACAACGACAAAATCGTCATATTACATACTTTAGCTTTACTGCTACACCAACTTCTAAATGTCTTAGATTGTTTGGGACTCATAAAGATGGATTAATTAGACCATTTCATTGTTTTAGTTTAGCTGAAGCAGAAAGTCAAGGATTAGTGATGAATGTTTTAAAGAATTATTATGTCGTACCAAAAATGTTTAATCTTTCAGGTAAAACTAAAGCAGTAGATCCTATTGCTGATGGGCTACAAGTTGCAAAAAATTTATCAGATGAAATTAGAATGACAGAGAATCTTATGAAAAGAAGAGCTGAATTTATTGTTAATCATTTTGATGAATTGATTAAAAGAACAGATTCTTCTTCGTTTAAAGGAATTGCAATGTTGGTTTGTAGAACTCGAAAGAGTGTTATTAAATATACTCAAATGCTTCGAGCAGTTATTAATGAAAAAGGATTTGATTATGGAGTATTTGGTGCATTCAGTGAAACAGATATTGATGGAGTAATGGAAAGTGAAGAAAAATTAAATACAATGTACAATACATATTCTGATTCAAAACATATTACAGAATTATTAAAGGATCAACAAAAGAATATTAGGATTATTGTAGCAGCAGATAAATTACAAATTGGATTTGATGAACCAAGATTAATGTGCATGTACGTTGATAAAGTACTAAGTGGTTCACATGCTGTTCAAACATTAGGAAGACTTGATAGAATTTGTAAAGGAAAGAAAGAAGTTTATGTAGTTGATTTTGCAAATCAATCAGACTCTTTAAAGAAAGCATGGGGAACTTTTTATCATGAAGCATTATTATTTGAGTCAGATACAGATGTTAAGCGCCAAGACATTTTTCGAACTGTCAAAATGAGATTAAAGAAAATTGATGGAATTAAAGAACAAAGTATTGAAATTGCTAAAGAAGCAATTAAGAACGAGAACACAGAAAGAAGAATTAGATTACTAAATCCTGTTCAGACAGATATGTTATTATTCCTTAAATTAGTTGATTATTTTCAGGATGATAATGATAAAGAATTAAAGTATTCATTCATTTCTAAACTATATACTTCTATTTCTTCTCAATCAGATAAAACAATTAGTTTAACTCAATTACTTAAGTCATCAATATCTGTTTCTGTTGATGAAACTATAGAGTTTAATGCTACTCATATTCCTATTGTATCAATTCAACAAAGTGCACCAAAAGGAAATAGTTTAGCTATTTATCAGAGGAGGTGTAAAGAAATGACATCTACAGAGGTAGTTGAAATGGCTGAAAAAATGGTTGATGGAGAGAATATTAACAATGACCCTGTTTCACAATTTTCTAATGAAATATATTCTAAAAATAATCGAGATTTACTTAGAGGTATTGTTAATAAATACAGTAAAACACCAGTTAAAAGGAAGCCAAGTAAGAAGATTGAAATTAATGGGTATTGTAGACAAAGTATTCATCAATTACTTGGATGGGATAAAGTTAATGGGACATTACGATTTTTGTTAAAGGAGGTAATTAACAGTAAAATATTAGAACAGTTCATTCACGAAAATGGGATTGCATTTTTATTTGTTTGTTGTAATAACGCAAAGCCATATGAAGGATCATTTGGACAAGCTGCGTTGCAGGTTATCCTCGATTGTTTAAAACCGGTGTATACTCCTTTGTTGTCAGAAACAATGTTTGATGTCAATTTTCTCATCAATAGTTTTTGTCAAAACACAAAGTTCTTGGCTGCACCAGCATTAAAAATCTTGGTTCGACTCTGCTCGCTCTTTCCATTGATAAAAAAATATGTTCTTGCCTGTGAACTTTTTAGAGAAAAATTAAAAGAATACTCTGGAACAAGTTCATTATTCCTTAAACAAGCAATTGACAGTTTTGTCAGACAACACATAAGTGTTTGAAGAAAAAAATATGTTAATTTACTGTTTTTACTTCTGTGTATTGTTTTTAAAAGTAATTTAACAAATATTATAAATTGTTATTTCTTAATTTAAAATTTCTAAATAAGAAAAACTCTAAATGTTAAATAAAAATGAAAAGATGTTGTAAAACTTCAAAAAAAAAATTAGATGTAGAAGAAGATAAAATTGAGGAAAAAGAAGTTCATAGTAAAAAGAAAGGAAAGGATGACCAATTATATGATATTGAAAAAGATAATGATCAGTATTGGAAAGACCATGATTTTGAAGTGTTTACAGAAGATTTTGAAAAAGG